GCTCCCACGTGAAAGTTTGTCTCCCAGCGTGGCAAGGCGTATTGCCTGCGCCTGGCGCAGATAGTGAGTGCCACGCCTGGTTGCCTCCAGGGCCTCCAGTCGTAGCTGCGGAGATGGAGCCGTGCGGGAGTGTTTCCAAGCTTCCTGTTTTGCCTTCACCTTGGTTGAACACTCCAGTGTCCACCAAAGAAGGGTCAGACGGGCTGGTTACCAGTTCACGAGCTGGTATGAATTGCTTCATGCCTTGTTAAGGTTATTAATGATCTTGGTGACATTGTGACATGATTTGTTGGGACATTGACTGATGGCTGTGGTCCAGTCAGCTTGCCGATAAAAATGAGCAAGTTGAGGGCAGTCCGCTAGGTTCTAGCGCCAGACTACTCGCTTTGTGGGAGGTTCCTCCGACACTTTTGTGGGAAATTCAGCTATCAGATTTACATGGTCCGAGGCGCCAAGGGGAGGTTTGCAACGGACTGTTACATCAGAAAGATAGAAAGACATACTCAGATCCAGTATATTGTCCCCTCGGGTCTTCATCGTAACATGTTGTTCCAGGCCGTGGCTAACACACATATCCTCAGCACATTCCCCTGCAGGAGTTGTTTTGTTGCTTCCTAACCACAAGCCGCTAAGCACATTGAAGTCGCCAGCGACGATAATCTTCGACCCATGCTGCCTAACTCTGTCAAGAGTTGCGTCAAGGTGTTCGAAGAGTTTGGTGTCAGTGGCCAGACAGGAGCCTGGCCTGTAGACAGCGCCAATGACAGTGTTCGTGTGGGGGGCCATGGAGACAGACACCCAGACAATTTCGTGATCACAGTCGATGTCATGGAGGTGCTGAAAGGCAATGCCGTCCCTAGTCCAGACCGCAACTCCTCCTCCATGAGCGGTGCGGTCTCGACGAATGGGAGGGGCATATCCAGGTAGTGAGACTTCCGCCTAGGTGGCCTTGTCTGCAGTGAGCTTGGTCTCAGTCACGATAATAACATCAGGCTTCGAGATCTTCACTGCGTGCTGAAGCTCACCAAGCTTGGACAGCAATCCAAATGCATTGGTCATGTAAAGGCGAAGTCGGGGGATAGAAGGGCGGGGAACAAACACTGGTGCAGAGGGGTTAAGGCGGGGAGAAAGCATGATGAAACATAGATAGATAGTCAGGCTAATATGAACACTAGAGAGAAAGATGACTAGTACTCAAGCTCGCCAGCCAGGCTTCTGGCTGATGGCAGGGGAGTGCAAACGAGTTGGCTTGTTTCCTTGGACTTCCATTCTTGACAAGAGTGAATCTGCCGTCGTGTTCTGGTGATATCGATTCCCGCTGCCGCTTTGATGGCTTCAGTGTATCAAAGAAAACGTTGTCGGCTCTTTCGGCTGCAGTGTTGTGATGCTGGTCTTCTGCATCCGCTTCTGAGCCGCTTGAATCATTGGGTTCAGCTGCTGGATCATGTGTATTGCCCATTTGGTGTAGGCACATTTTGTCATGCTGCCCAGGTATGAGACCTCCGTCATAGGTGTTTGATGTGTGGGCCAGAGACGTGGTGGGGTTAGGCTGCTGTGTGGAGGGGGTGGTGGCTCCTCTCCTGACTCCTCAACCCAGCTGCTGTGGGGGACAGAGCTAGAGTGAAATCGGGCTCACCTTCCGTGCCTCCTGCCGAGGCAGGTTCCGATTCCCCAGGTGCATCCCTTTCCGCATCCGATCCTCCTACAGCAGATGAGTACGAGTACGGTTTTTCTGACCCCACGCCACTAGTACTGGCAAGTTTGCGGTTGGCTGTCGTACCAGAGCTCATAGGTGTGTTTTCCCGGGAATGCTCATCCTGCTGCACATGCACTGACCCAGCAGCTGCAACCTCTTGACTATGCGTACTTTGAGGGCTTGCTGCTGACCTGTTCACTTCAGTGCATCCCGTACTCGTTGACTGACTAGCTGGAGGTTTTCGGCGTGGGGAATCCCTTGCTTTATGGCCTGGTGCTGCGCAATGGAAGCATGTCTGGGGTTGCCCTTTGTACCAGATGCGTAGGGGCGTCTGACCCACGCGAACAAGAGACGGAACTGACTTTCGCAATTTCACTTTCAAGAAGCTAGTACCGGTTTCAACTGAGAACCCTTCGTGCAGGATTTTTTCCTAGCAGGAGACCTGTGAATCGTTGCATACTGGCTTATGGCCGAAGACAATGCCCCGTCATGCAGGTGATACGGACAGCCAAACACATGCAAGCTAATGAGCTCGGTGTCTCCAATGACAATATCTACTGCCTTACCAGCAATTTTGAAAGAAGTGGACACAAGACGATCCCTGGCGGCGGCATGCTTGAGGGTGACAGTGCACCAGCCTGGTCTGCCATGCAGGTCCACTTGCTGGAGTTCGTCGGGCGTGACTCCATTACTAGCTAGTTCCTTTAATGAAAAATACATTATCGATCTCCCAAAGAGGATCAAGTTGAAAGGAAAAAGTGATGCAAGGCGCAGCTCCAAAATTGCTCCCGCCCGCCATCATACTGATCAATCAATTACATAAGTAGCGAATGTAGTCGATCTATGGAAAGTCTTACCCACACTCCATGCCGATTTGTGTTCCGCCATATGTAGTTTTCGAATGACATAGCTGCCCTTGGCAACTCGGAACGCGGCAGTGTACGACCGGGTCGACCTAGGGAGTGAGTAAAAAATTTGCACCCCAACACACTTACGGAGCACCTCCGTTATCAGAGTCCTACATACATACGCTGCATACCGTAAGGTCTTGTATAGAAGTTGCACTTGAATAGAAGCCGCCCTCGAATAGAAGCCGCAATTTTGGGCCAATCCAATCACACATAAGCCTGGTTTTAGTGATGACATACATAGAAGTACATGTCTTGTAATGAAGCCTGTCTCATTATAGAAGTCTGCAAAATTTCACAAGGAAAGTCATAGAAGCCGCGGCTTTTGTACAAGACTTTACGGTAGATAATTTTCCATAAGTGAGGTGCAAACTCGTGAGTTCAAGGGTTTTCCCGCCCACTAACGTAACGTTGCTCAACTTCACGTAGTGCGGAACGTCTCTGATGACTTGCCCATTAGGGGTCATCCGTATATATTCCCTCAACCCTGGAACCTTTGGATCCGTTTCATTATTAAATTCAAATTCGTTACTTGTAGTACTCCCCATTGATTTGTTTCCGTATTCTCTTTGTGCCTTGTTCATGATTGTATTTTCCTCTTCCTCCTTTTCTTATATGACCACCTTCATCATTTTGCGAGAACTGTGGCAATACGCCCAGTGAGAAGGCAGATTTTGCCTGTGTTTCTGGTGAAGTAAAATAAAGCTAAACAAACAAATACTGATATTTACACGAAAGCTAGTCATTTCCCTTCAACCCCTCCCCCTCCCTGAGAAACGAACACATACATACGGCACATAGTATATATTTTTTTCTTTTCTAGCTGGATGTGCCCACACATACAAACTGTGCATCGATATTTTCCGAGAAACGAACAGGCGCTCACCCCGCCCCCCCTCCCCCTTAAACAACTACTTTTTGTTTCTAAATATAATGTTTACGAATGGCTCCTAATACTATTCTGTTGTCCACTGTATCACCATATCAGACAACAATGAATGTGCAGCAAAAACACATGGTTGTCATGCCGACGCTAACTGTAGCAACATCCTTGGTTCATATACATGTGCATGTTTAACTGGTTACCAAGGAAATGGAACACATTGCTCAGGTAAGTCGTAATTTTATGACTTGCCCACCTGACTGTTTCATCAATTTTGTGAACAGTCCAATAAAACCTGGTTTAAGCAACCTCTGATTTTAGTGACCACCTGCTTTTAATGACCGCTTTTTTCATGCACAGACAATTCTACACAGAAATAGCACTGGATACAGCGACCACCTACCTTACACGGCCATCAAACGACTTTTAGTGTACCAAGTGCCATATAGGACCTGCACAGAGTGGCCCAAACCAGCCAAAAGTAGGGAGGTTTCGCTCTACGTAATTACGTATGAAAATCCGTATGTCGTACGCGCCGGGGAGCGAGGGCAACTTTCATACGTAAATCTCTCTACGGATTTCCGTAGGAAAGCTCTTTCCTACGTTGGGTCCTCCGTAGGACTTTTTGAAATATTTTTCGCATTTTCTGAATTTGTCCATGGCAACATTCAAGCCGCGCGAAACACAAGGTACACACACCGTACACCACGCGTGCAAAATATAATGGAGAACGCGGTTTCGGTTCATGGTGCATGCGGTGGTCACGTGCAGCCAACGCGTCTCCAAAGCAACAACGCATGTTTAGCAGTCATGGAGACATCACGTAGAGCGAAACCCAACAGCTCTGATTTTTACGTATGAAAATTCCGTGCAGTTCATACGTTATTTTCATACGTAATTCCGTAGAGCGAAACCCTTCCTAGTGTCATCTTCACTGGCAGGGTTGACGCAAACAGGGTTGAAGTGCGCTCTGACGCAAGTGCATGCAGTCAGCAGAAGTGACAAGTGAGAGTGCAGGATGCACTGCATGCACTTGAATGAGGCGTGCTTTGCCTGTGCGAAAGTCTTCTATTCTCCACGCCTGTAAATACGAGTGCATGGATGTACAACCATGCATATGTACATGTATGTACAGGATCCGATATGCCGCGAATGTATGGGACCTGGTTCTAAAGACCACTTGGCTTTAACGACCGCTTTCGCTTGCACCGTGGGATGGTCACTTTAGTATATTATTATTATTAAAAGCATGTCCGCGTAGGTGGCGGGGGTGCCACTTTCGCTTATGCCATTCAGGATTGATGTCTGAAGAGTAATGCGATACAATGAAATGACAGAAGTGACATCAACAAACGCCGTTAGCAACAATACCAATAGGACTAATGGAAAACTTATCCAAAGTATAAAATAAAATAGAATATGCATACAACATGTCTGGCGGAATCACGTGGATCACGAGAATCAGTCCTGTTACTAATGGAAAACTTATCCAAAGTATAAAATAAAATAGAATATGCATACAACATGTCTGGCGGAATCACGTGGATCACGAGAATCAGTCCTGTTAGGTGGTGCGGGCTCCACGCCATGCCTGTCGGTCCGCTGCCATTGTGCGGACTGCGACAGCATCTATCGGCTGGTGGAGGGTAAGTCCATGCCATGATGACAGTTCTGTCTGCAAGACCGTTACCAAAGTCGTCACTTGAACCTGGTTTTACTGTAGTTCGAGTTTTGTTTCGCGTTTTCTTCAAATGTTGCGTTCAAACCTGCGAACGTTCGCATGAAGTTTCCCTTTTCGTGAGGTCAAACGAAAATCCGCACAAACGTTTGCTTTGTAAACCTCTGTAACAATGGGCGGGCTCGATTGCACACATTTCCGCCAATTCTACTGCAGCAGACATAGAAACATAGAAATGCAGTCAATTGACCGGAGCCGGTGCTCTCAGCGCGTACAGAACGCTGTGTGCAGTGCACATGCTGATCCGCTACAACCAGCGCGCTGCAGCGCATAAATGCATGTGTGTACCGCTTATCCACGGCTGCATGGTCAGTGGTCTGGGGCCACTAGACATGCGACCGGATTTCCATGTCCACGACAGTCGAATTATTTATGGTGGATGCGCCGTTCAGTTACACAAAATCTGTCGTCAATTGCAATTCCGTCAATTTGGTCAATTCTGAAGATAGGGCCGAATTGCGACATGTAATTCCAGAATTGCTAATTCCAGAATTGACGCACTCGACGTAAACGCCGTGCTAGGTCCACATGCGCGCGAGGGTGCACGGGCTCCCACGTGATCCCCTTTTACGATTTATGTCACTGTAGTCGTTTGTCTACATGGCCGCAATGCGTTCATTCTGTTCATTCGAGAATTATAAAACCTGGGTCCAAACATGTAGTCGAAAGTGCCCAATGACTAGCATGTTATGCTATTCTGTTGTCCACTGTATCACCATATCAGACACCAATGAATGTACAGCAAAAACACATGGTTGTCATGTCAACGCTCAATGTAACAATACCATTGGTTCATATGCATGTGTATGTACAACTGGTTACCAGGGAAATGAAACGCATTGCACAGGTAAGTCATAATGTCATGAATCGGCACACTTAATGGGGAAGTTCGGAGAAAAAAATTAAATTTCAGGACCCGGAGAGTTTGGGTCGCTGAGTTCAATGTTGTTGGTCCGACCTGCCTTCAACAAAGCGTTCTTGAGATATTTCCGTTCGAAAAACTAAGTATGGGGGGAGGGGTTGCGCCCATGACGTCATGCAGCCGCCCCACACAATCTGCAATGCCATAGCATGCAGCCAGGTCAAAGGGACTGCAGGAAATCAATAGTGTCAATGCTATTTCAAATGATTTGACGACCGATAGTAGTCGGTGCAAGCGGCCACGAAGACATAAATCTGTGTGAGAGTGAGGATGCAGCCATGGCTGACCTTCATGAGTTCGGTCTGGGCTGAGAACTCCGGTGTTCTGCAGAAGAAATGGCCGAGCGGGCTGGTCAAGAGTGAGCCCTGCAGCGTTTGCGACTGATGAAGAAGCAGCAGCGGCGAGGCTGATATGATTATCAGATATCTGGAGAGTAGAGTCGGCGAAATGGAGAAGACTGATGGGAGTGCTCTAAAAGCTGTTCCATAACGACTCCAGTAGTCTGCCATATAGTGATTTTTGGTGTCAGCATGGCATATTTTGGACGCTGCTCTTTTGGAGAACAATGCAGGCTCTTTGAACCACGGCCACAACTCTTCGGTTCAAGGTTCACAACACTACGGGATCTGAACGTTTTAGGTCCGGGAGCTGTTCGTTGTATTGTCACTTGTCACGGTTGTTGACTCATCGTTGTAGCATAAATGAATCTGCACTATTTCATGCCGAAAACGTTCTTTGCCAAAGCACAACCACCGGCACCGGCAAGAAGAAATGCACCTTCCCTGATTGTACGAACGACTGATACGAGCATGACAAGTCTGTATTTTGCAGTGCAGGGAGTGGATTGGAGGGTGGTGGTTGGGTGACTGGCTGGGGGTGTGGCTGGGGGTGTGCCTGAGCGCGTATAGCTGTGACTGTGAAACTGTATGAGAATGGGAAGTGCGGGACTGCTGGTTGCGCATCTGCGATAGTAGTTGTATGTTTAAGCAGAGAGGTGGTTGTGCGCTAGAAACATTTGTTTGCATTGAGTGATTGGTATTCATTCATGCATGAATGTCAGTGATGAATTCATCTTATCGGCCCTTTTGTCTGCTTGAACTGTTGCATTCTGACTTTCAGCAACAGACGCCAACGCAAGTCAGTCGAATACCTACCTAACTCTGGGTCTTTCTACATTTATTTATGGCTCAACATCCGAGTTTCATATTGCACACCTGATGAGCCGTCACGAACCATACGGCGAAACGTACGTCGTGTGAAACAACTTGTTTTGTAGTCAACTAGTGCATCACAATGTCATGCATGAGGAGTACTGTAGGAGTTTGGCTTTCGGCTTGTACAATTCGTTTTCGCAAAGCTTCCCTTTCTTTACTTATCTTTGATATTTATGACCCACCCAAGTTGGGTGGTGTGCTGCTTTGCTGCTTCGAATTGTAGTTAGACCGCTTTGTCAAATATCATACTGGTCTCGTCATCGTCCAGTAACAATCGACATTCTTTGTTCCGTTGGGACTGTAGCTTTTGCTCGTTTTCGTTGCGCTTGCCTTCCCCTCTTTGGTCTTTCCATAACCTTGAACCTTCCAAGTTGGAAGGCTGTCGGTTAGCGCTACGGAGATGTGTTGAAGCTAGGTGTCAGGACGTCGAATGTTTCAGTACTCTGTCAGTTTTGTGCCTAGTTATTGCACTTTCTGACTGTATAAAGTATCATGTTACAGTGATGGAGAGTTACTCTTAACTCGTATCCATATGTCCTTTTCTCTTCTACATTTATTTATGGCTCAACATCCGAGTTTCATATTGCACACCTGATGAGCCGTCACGAACCATACGGCGAAACGTACGTCGTGTGAAACAACTTGTTTTGTAGTCAACTAGTCCATCACAATGTCATGCATGAGGAGTACTGTAGGAGTTTGGCTTTCGGCTTGTACAATTCGTTTTCGCAAAGCTTCCCTTTCTTTACTTATCTTTGATATTTATGACCCACCCAAGTTGGGTGGTGTGCTGCTTTGCTGCTTCGAATTGTAGTTAGACCGCTTTGTCAAATATCGTACTGGTCTCGTCATCGTCCAGTAACAATCGACATTCTTTGTTCCGTTGGGACTGTAGCTTTTGCTCGTTTTCGTTGCGCTTGCCTTCCCCTCTTTGGTCTTTCCATAACCTTGAACCTTCCAAGTTGGAAGGCTGTCGGTTAGCGCTACGGAGATGTGTTGAAGCTAGGTGTCAGGACGTCGAATGTTTCAGTACTCTGTCAGTTTTGTGCCTAGTTATTGCACTTTCTGACTGTATAAAGTATCATGTTACAGTGATGGAGAGTTACTCTTAACTCGTATCCATATGTCCTTTTCTCTTCTACATTTATTTATGGCTCAACATCCGAGTAACAAAAAAGTAGAAATTTATAAGAATTTATAACATGTAGAAAGGAAAAGGACATATGGATACGAGTTAAGAGTAACGCTTGCCTTCCCCTCTTTGGTCTTTCCATAACCTTGAACCTTCCAAGTTGGTAGGCTGTCAGTTAGCGCTACGGAGATGTGTTGAAGCTAGGTGTCAGGACGTCAAATGTCTCAGTACTCTTTTCAGTTTTGTGCCTAGTTGTTGCACTTTCTGACTGTATATACCAGTCACAGTGATGGAGAGTTACTCTTAACTCGTATCCATATTATGTCCTTTTCCTTTCTACATTTATTTATGGCTCAACATCCGAGTTTCAAATTTATAATATTCCTATGCTTTTTTGTCTTGGTCATCAAGGCAAAAAAGCATAGCTCTCTCGTTTAGACACGAAAACTAGTCATTTCTCTTCAACCCCCCCCCCCCTCCTTGAAAAACGAACACATACATACGGCACATAGTATAGATTATTCTTTTCTAGCTGGATGTGCCCACACATACAAACTGTGCATCGGTATTTTTTCGAGAAACAAACAGGCGCTCACCCCCGCCTTAAACAACTACTTTTTGTTTCTAAATAAAATTACGAATGGCTCCTAATGCTATTCTGTTGTCCACTGTATCACCATATCAGACAACAATGAATGTACAGCAAAAACACATGGTTGTCATGCGAACGCTAACTGTAGCAACATCCCTGGTTCATATACATGCGCATGTTCAACTGGTTACCAAGGAAATGCAACACATTGCTCAGGTAAGTTGTAATTTTATGACACCGCACACTTGACTGTTTCGTCGATTTTGTGTACAGTACAGTAAAAATAGAGGTTGCGAGTTTGCGGCAGTCAAGTGTCAAGTCGTCGGCAGTATAGCGCGAGCTCCAGTGTGGGAGCAAACCCATTCCTACTACAGTAAAACCTGGTGAAAGCAACCTCTGGGTTTAGCGACCACCTGCTTTTAATGACCTTTTTTCATGCACGGACAGTTCTACACAGCAACAGCACTGGATACAGCAACCACCTACCTTGCACCGCCATCAAACGACTTTTACTACAGTCCATTTCAAAACTATAGACGCGTACCTAGGCAAAAACCGTTATGCCAGCATCTATACCACATAAAATCTGTGATCACTTTGTGCATAATTTTTTCCAAATTGGGCGTCTGTTATCCAATCCTTTAGAAACTATATGAGAGTAATTGTGGAGCGATCCTGAGCAATATTCCGAAAACTATTCTCAAAACGTTCCAGCCAAATTTGAAATATTTCAAAAACTCTACGCGTCTATAGTTTTGAAATGCACTGTAGTCTTTTAGTGTACCAAGTGCCATATAGGACCTACGCACAGCAGCCCAAACCAGCCAAAAGTGTCGCCTTCACTGTCAGGGTTGACACAAACAGGGTTGAAGTGCGCTGGGTCCAAAAATGTAATCGAAAGTGCCCAATGACTAGCATGTTATGCTGTTCTGTTGTCCACTGTATCACCATATCAGACACCGATGAATGTACGGCAAAAACAAATAGTTGTCATGCCAACGCCAACTGTAGCAACATCCCTGGTTCATATACATGTGCATGTTTAACTGGTTACCAAGGAAATGGAACACATTGTTCAGGTAAGTCGTAGTTTTATGACTCGACACACTTGAATGTTTGCACATTAGTTGAAGTTTGTTTCGCGTGTCCTTCAACTTTTGCGTTCAAAGCCACGGGCGTTCACATGAAGTTCCCCTTCCCGTGATGTCAAACGAAAATTCGCTCGAATTTTCGCTCTGCAAAACATCTCTGACGATTGAGAGGTTCCGCACGACATAATTACGATTACGTTAGTAACAAATGCAGTCGATCTATGGAAAGTGTAAGCTACACTCCATGCCGGTCTGTGTTCCGCCATATGTAGTTTTCGAATGATATAGCTGCCCTTGGCAACTCGGAACGCGGCAGTGTACGACCGGGTCGACCTAGGGAGTGAGTCAAAATTTTGCACCCCAATACACTTACGGAGCACCTCCGTTATCAGAGCCCTACGTATGTACTATACATAGACAACTTTCCATAGGTTAAGTGCAAACTCGCGAGTTCACGGGTTTTTCCGCCTACTAACGTAAGGTTGCTCAACTTCACGTAGTGCGGAACGTCTCTAATGACTTGCACATTAAGGATCATCCGTAAAATACTGATATTCCCCTTAAACAACTAGTTTTGGTTTCTAAATAAATATCTACATTTACGAATGGCTCCTAATGCTATTCTGTTGTCCACTGAATCACCATATCAGACAACAATGAATGTACAGCAAAAACGCATGGTTGTCATGCCAACGCTAACTGTAGCAACATCCCTGGTTCATATACATGTGCATGTTCAACTGGTTACCAAGGAAATGGAACACATTGCTCAGGTAAGTTGTAATTTTATGACTCGGCACACTTGACTGTTTCGTCGATTTTGTGTACAGTACAGTAAAAATAGAGGTTGCGAGTTTGCGGCAGTCGTGAGTCAGTCAAGTGTCAAGTCGTCGGCGGAATAGCGCGAGCTCCAGTTTGGGAGCAAACCCATTCCTAATACAGTAAAACCTGGTGTAAGCGACCTCTGGGTTTAACGACCACCTGCTCTTAATGACCGCTTTTTTCATGCACGGACAGTTCTACACAGAAACAGCACTGGATACAGCGACCACCTACTTTGCACCGCCATCAAACGACTTTTAGTGTACCAAGCGCCACATAGGACCTACGCACAGCGGCCCGAACCAGCCAAAAGTGTCGTCTTCACTGTCAGGGTTGACACAAACAGGGGTGAAGTGCGCTGGGTCCAAATATGTAATCGAAAGTGCCCAATAACTAGCATGTTATGCTGTTCTGTTGTCCACTGTATCACCATATCAGACACCAATGAATGTACGGCAAAAACAAATAGTTGTCATGCCAACGCCAACTGTAGCAACATCCTTGGTTCATATACATGTGCATGTTTAACTGGTTGCCAAGGAAATGGAACACATTGCTCAGGTAAGTCGTAGTTTTATGACTTGGCACACTTGACTGCTTCATCAATTTTTGTGTGAAGTAGTTCAAGTTTGTTTCGTGTTTCCTTCAACTTTCGCGTTCAAAGCCACGGGTGTTCACCCGAAGTTCCCCATCCCGTGATGTCAAACGAAAATTCGCTTGAATGACAAGAGCAAAGAAGACTCGGAATAAACTCAATATCATTCGTCTGAGGTGCTTTTTGTCTTTGTATATAGCTTATAAATAGGTTAGACAATGCCACGAGTGTTATTCTAAGTCAAGCTAAACAATTGCATAGCTATGCGCAGCCTTAAAAATGTCACGAAGTTTTTGCATACGGAGGAAGTAATGTTATTCTGTTGTTCACTTTATCACCATAATATTATCAGACACCAATGAATGTGCAGCAAAAACACATGGTTGTCATGCCAACGCTAACTGTAGCAACATCCCTGGTTCATATACATGTGCATGTTCAACTGGTTACCAAGGAAATGGAACACATTGCTCAGGTAAGTAGCAATTTTATGATTCGGCACACTTGACTGTTTCGTCGATTTTTATGCGAAGCAGTTCAAGTTTGTTTCGCGTTTCCTTCAAATTTCGCGTTCAAAGCCACGGGCGTTCACACGAAGTTCCCCATTCCGTGATATCAAACGAAAATTCGCTTGAATTTTCGCTCTGCACAACATCTTTGACGATAGAGAGTTTCCGCACGACATAATTACGTTAGTAACAAATGTAGTCGATCTATGGAAAGTCTAACCTACAATCCATGCCGATCTGTGTTCCGCCATATGTAGTTTTCGAATGACATAGCTGCCTTTGGCAACTCGGAACGCGGCAGTGTACGACCGGGTCAAGCTAGGGAGTGAGTCAGCCATTTGCACCCCAATACACCACCGGAGCGCCTCCGTTATCAGAGCCCTACGTACGTACTCTACATAGACAAATTTCCATAAGTGAAGTGCAAACTCGTGAGTTCATGGGTTTTCCTGCCCACTAACGTAAGGTTGCTCAACTTCACGTAGTGCGGAACGCCTCTAATGACTTGTACATTAGGGGTCATCCGTAAATATTCCCTCAACCCTGGAACCTTTGGATCCGTTGCATTATTTTCATGAAAAAATTCATCAAATTCAAGTTACTTGTAGTACTCCCCCATTGATTTCCGTCTTCTCCTAGTGCCTTATTCATGATTTGTATTTTCCTCTTCCTCCTTTTCTTATATGACCACGAAAAGACGACGAGGAGACAATAACTTTATTAATGCGATTAATAGTATTAGTGAAGCGGACATTACAAAATGATGAATGAGAATACATGTATCTAAAATGGTTGTTCCTAATCGATTTTCTTGAGACTATCATCAGGGAAAATCGTCTCACAATAGAGGCTATACGGAGAACCTATAAGTAACCTATATAAGTAACCTATAAGTAGTTTGTTTCTCCGTATAGCCTCTATTGTGAGACGATTTTCCCGATTTTTTGTAATGTCCGCTTCACTAATACTATTAATCGCATTATATGACCACCTTCATCATTTTGCGAGAACTGTGGCAGTATGCCCAGTGAGAAGGCAGATTTTGCCTGTGCTTCTGGTGAAGTAAAATAAAGCTAAACAAACAAATACTAGGGGAAGAGTGTGTTGCTCCCTACGTGGGAGCTCGCGGTTTCCCTGCCAACTTGAATTCTGATTGACTGACTCCCGACTGAAACACTGTGTATTGAGCAGGGAGTGGTGCTTTCTTGCAGGTTTGCCGAGTGGACGGTTCGATGGACTTCTCGTGTGCTCTGGATGGCAGTCATGAGTCAGTCAAGTGAGAATTCAAGTCGGCAGGAAAACCGCGAGCTCCCATGTAGGGAGCAACACACTCTTCCCCTACTATCACCGAAGTCGCACCAACCTCTTCTTCAAACAAATACTGTTATTTAATCCCGTAGCTATGCAGATGACGTTACTTCAGTAACGTCTGGCGCTAGCCAGGGTCCCCACAGCTTTAATTTGGTGTTTGTTTGTGTGTTTGTTTGTGTGTTTGTGTCACGCCTGGCGCTATCCTGTATCTGTCCCGTACCGTACCGTACCGTACCGTCAAACACAGCTGGCCACATACAGCTGGCCGCACTATTCAAATAGGTCTCTCAAACGCAAGATCATAACGTGAAGCAACTTGGAACAATGAGTATGAATGCAAAGTGTATGGGGGAATGCATGTAGGGCGATAGTGCGGGTTCGAATCCCTGGTAATGCCTGAAAATAGGAAAATTGAAAAATTTATAACGTCCCTATTCTTTTTTTGCCGTCATCAAGGCGGTAGATGGTGTCGTATTACCCTCGACCGTACCTGTCCCGTACCTTTCCCGTACCTGTCCCGTACCTGTCCCGTACCTGTCCCGTACCTGTCCCGTACCGTACCTGTCCCGTACCGTACAATCAAAGACGGCTGGCCACAATGCATATTCATATAGCGCTTTCAAATACAAGATCATAACGTGAAGCAACTTGGAAGAATTAGTATGTATGCGAAGTGTATCGGGGTCCACGGATGCATGCAGGGCAATAGTGCGGGTTCGAATCCCAGGTTATGTCTAAAAACAAAAAGTAGAAATTTATAAGAATTTATAACATGTAGAAAGGAAAAGGACATATGGATACGAGTTAAGAGTAATGCTTGCCTTCCCCTCTTTGGTATTTCCACAACCTTGAACCTTCCAAGTTGGAAGGCTGTCGGTTAGCGCTACGGAGATGTGTTGAAGCTAGGTGTCAGGACGTCGAATGTCTCAGTACTCTTGTCAGTTTTGTGCCTAGTTATTGCACTTTCTGACTGTATGATAGTATCCAGTTACAGTGATGGAGAGTTACTCTTAACTCGTATCCATATTATGTCCTTTTCCTTTCTACATTTATTTATGGCTCAACATCCGAGTTTCAAATTTATAATATCCCTATGCTTTTTTTGTCTAGGTCATCAAGGCAAAAAAGCATAGCTCTCTCGTTTAGACACGAAAACTAGTCATTTCTCTTCAACCCCCCCCCCCCTCCCCCCCCCCCTCCCACCCCCTCCCTGAGAAACGAACACATACATACAGCACATAGTATAGATTTTTCTTTTCTAGCTGGATGTGCCCACACATACAAACTGTGCATCGGTATTTTTCGAGAAACGAACAGGCGCTCGCCCCCGCCTTAAACAACTACTTTTGTTTCTAAATAAAATTACGAATGGCTCCTAATGCTATTCTGTTGTCCACTGTACCACCATATCAGACACCAATGAATGTACAGCAAAAACCCATGGTTGTCATGCCAACGCTAACTGTAGCAACATCCCTGGTTCATATACATGTGCATGTTCAACTGGTTACCAAGGAAATGGAACACATTGCTCAGGTAAGTCGTAATTTTATGACTCCGCACACTTGACTGTTTCGTCGATTTTGTGTACAGTACAGTAAAACTAGAGGTTGCGAGTTTGCGGCAGTTGTGAGTCAGTCAAGTGTCAAGTCGTCGGCGGAATAGCACGAGCTCCAGTTTGGGAGCAAACCCATTCCTAATACAGTAAAACCTAGTGTAAGCGACCTCTGGGTTTAACGACCACCTGCTCTTAATGACCGCTTTTTTATGCACGGACAGTTCTACACAGAAACAGCACTGGATACAGCGACCACCTACCTTGCACGGCCATCAAACGACTTTTAGTGTACCAAGTGCCATATAGGACCTACGCACAGCGGCCCAAACCAGCCAAAAGTGTCGTCTTCACTGGCAGGGTTGACACAAACAGGGTTGAAGTGCGCTGGGTCCAAATATGTAATCGAAAGTGCCCAATGACTAGCATGTTATGCTGTTCTGTTGTCCACTGTATCACCATATCAGACACCGATGAATGTACGGCAAAAACAAATAGTTGTCATGCCAACGCCAACTGTAGCAACATCCCTGGTTCATATACATGTGCATGTTTAACTGGTTACCAAGGAAATGGAACACATTGTTCAGGTAAGTCGTAGTTTTATGACTCGACACACTTGAATGTTTCATCAATTTTTGTGCACATTAGTTGAAGTTTGTTTCGCTTGTCCTTCAACTTTCGCGTTCAAAGCCACGGGCGTTCACATGAAGTTCCCCTTCCCGTGATGTCAAACGAAAATTCGCTTGAATTTTCGCTCTGCAAAACATCTCTGACGATTGAGAGGTTCCGCACGACATAATTACGATTACGTTAGTAACAAATGCAGTCGATCTATGGAAAGTGTAACCTACACTCCATGCCGGTCTGTGTTCCGCCATATGTAGTTTTCGAATGATATAGCTGCCCTTGGCAACTCGGAACGCGGCAGTGTACGACCGGGTCGACCTAGGGAGTGAGTCAAAATTTTGCACCCCAATACACTTACGGAGCACCTCCGTTATCAGAGCCCTACGTATGTACTATACATAGACAACTTTCCATAGGTTAAGTGCAAACTCGCGAGTTCACGGGTTTTCCCGCCTACTAACGTAAGGTTGCTCAACTTCACGTAGTGCGGAACGTCTCTAATGACTTGCACATTAAGGATCATCCGTAAAATACTGATATTCCCCTTGAACAACTCGTTTTGGTTTCTAAATAAATATCTACATTTACGAATGGCTCCTAATGCTATTCTGTTGTCCACTGAATCACCATATCAGACAACAATGAATGTACAGCAAAAACACATGGTTGTCATGCCAACGCTAACTGTAGCAACATCCCTGGTTCATATACATGTGCATGTTCAACTGGTTACCAAGGAAATGGAACACATTGCTCAGGTAAGTCGTGATTTCATGACTCCGCACACTTGACTGTTTCGTCGATATTGTGTACAGTACAGTAAAATAGAGGTTGCGAGTTTGCGGCGGTCGTGAGTCAGTCAAGTGTCAAGTCGTCGGCGGAATAGCGCGAGCTCCAGTTTGGGAGCAAACCCATTCCTAATACAGTAAAACCTAGTGTAAGCAACCTCTGGGTTTAACGACCACCTGCTCTTAATGACCGCTTTTTTCATGCACGGACTGTTCTACACAGAAACAGCACTGGATACAGCGACCACCTACCTTGCACGGCCATCAAACGACTTTTAGTGTACCAAGTGCCATATAGGACCTACGCACAGCGGCCCAAACCAGCCAAAAGTGTCGTCTTCACTGGCAGGGTTGACACAAACAGGGTTGAAGTGCGCTGGGTCCAAATATGTAATCGAAAGTGCCCAATGACTAGCATGTTATGCTGTTCTGTTGTCCACTGTATCACCATATCAGACACCAATGAATGTACGGCAAAAACAAATAGTTGTCATGCCAACGCTAACTGTAGCAACATCCTTGGTTCATATACATGTGCATGTTTAACTGGTTACCAAGGAAATGGAACACATTGCTCAGGTAAGTCGTAATGTTATGACTCGGCACACTTGACTGCTCCATCGATTTTTGTGCGAAGTAGTTTTTTTCCGTGACGTCAAAGGAAAATTCTCTTGAATTTTCGCTCTGCAAAACATCTGAGACGATAGAGAGATTCCGCATGACATAATTTTTTTTACGAAAAGCCAAGTGGTGCACGCAAAGGGAACATGCAGCAGCCATGCATGGTGGACATTGTCACACTCTGGTCGCAGCAGATAAGCATTTTTAATGGAAGTATGAGGGAAAGAGAAAGAACGGGGGGGGGGGGGGGGGGGGGAGGAGGTAGATTGAGAAGGAGAGAGTACATGTACATGAGAGCCTGTAGTTCAGCAAGTTTATGTAGCAGGTTTACAAGGCGTCGGGTGCTTGCATCCAGTTGCTGCACAACAGGTGATGGTGGACCATCTTCTTGAACTTCCACATCCCCTTGTATGGCTGCTGTGCGAGGATTCTCCGAGGCAGGAAGTTGCATGCACTCAGCACGCAAGCAAAGAAAGCCTTGGCCAAGGCTGAGCGGGAACGGCGAGGCAGGCTACATGCCAATGGAAAGTCGTGTGACTGGCGTCGCTGGGCGGAGAAACGGGTGTTGGGGGGTTTCATCCGCCAGCTGGAGTGGCTTGGGCATAATCGCTTTCAAGGGGCTCGTCGGTGGAAGGAAGCAGAGCTTGTACAGGAAGCTCAGGGCCGCCACCCTGCGCCTATGCTCCAGGCTTGGTACGAAGACTCCAGGGCCTATCAGCTTTAGTGTCCTGCGCTGTACTGTGTCCAGGCGGGCCAGTGGAGCCCCCATCCAGACCAGGCAGTAGTTCTCCATGGTTGGCCGTTTGAAGCCGTTGTAAACAGCAATACAGCCAGGTGCTGTCCAAAGTGGCACCACCTTCCGGAGAACGTGGAGGCGTTGGAGGGCCCTGGTGGCAACCTGGCGTATGTGGGTCGAGAATCGCAACGTGGTGTCGAAGAAAACACCGAGGAGCTTGATCTCGTCAGCTTCAGGCACCCTGGTACCGTTGAACAGTGCGTGGGGAAGAGGTGTTGCCGGACGGTGAAAGTCTGTTGTGAGCGCCTGGGAATTGGTCGGTTCGAAAGTTATTTTCCACTCAGCACCCCATCGGGCGATAGGTCGCACTTTCCGCTATGTCGCATGTGGCCGCAATGCATTGGTAGGCTGTGGTGCCATCTGCGTATACAGCCAGAGAGGTACTATCCGGTGTTACTTCCTCACAGTTGTTTACGTAAACCAGAAACAGGGTTGGACCCAAGATGCTGCCTTGGAGGACCCCAGCAAGCAAAGGGTATTCCGATGACTGTTGTCCTCCGACTATGGCACGTAGTTGCCGGCAGCAGAGGTAGTTTGAGAGCCAGCCAAGGAACGGACCACTGATGCCGCATGCCTCTGTTTTATGGAGGGCACCTCGATGCGAAACCTTGTCGAACGCCCCGGCGATGTCGATGGCCAGTACATGTACCATGCCGCCTCTCGCCGCAGTGGATAACCAGTCGTTGTGCAGCTTTGTTAGTAGATCTGATGTACCAAGTCCCTTCCGGAAGCCATATTGCCGAGACGAGATTACACTGTGCTTTGAGAAGAAGTTCATGATACAGCGGTTAACAATTGTTTCCATTGTCTTGGAGAGAATGCAGAGGAGAGACACCGGGCGATGGTTGCGCAGGTCTGATCTAGCTTTCTTCTTGTGAATCGGAACAACCTGGGCGACCTTCCACAGCCTCGGTTGCACTTGCTGCCGAAAGCACAAGGAGAACAGCCGGGCGACAAGCAAGCAGAGCTCACTGGCACAATTCTTCAGCACCCTTGCTGGAATCCGGTCAGGGCCTTTGGCTTTCGTGGGATTCAGTCTTCTGAGCTCTCTTCTGACAGTATCCGTTCGAAAGTGGATGGTAGTGAGCCGAGACTCGGTGTGAGGTGTTACAGGTGGCAGATCGTCTGATGGCAGATCGTTTGGAAAGTCATCTGCTGCGAGGCTGGACTTCGACGAAAAAACGTGCCAAACCGCTCTGCTTTCTCGGAGTTGGCCATAACTCGGACGCCGTTAGTGTCAACAAGAGTTGGTATAGTTGTGCTGCGCCCACTACCACCTGCTTGCTTCAGCGTGGACCACCACTCTCGATCAGACATGCTCCCACGTGAAAGTTTGTCTCCCAGCGTAGCAAGGCGTATTGCCTGCGCCTGGCGCAGATAGTGAGTGCCACGCCTGGTTGCCTCCAGGGCCTCCAGTCGTAGCTGCGGAGATGGAGCCGTGCGGGAGTGTTTCCAAGCTTCCTGTTTTGCCTTCACCTTGGTTGAACACTCCAGTGTCCACCAAAGAAGGGTCAGACGGGCTGGTTACCAGTTCACGAGCTGGTATGAATTGCTTCATGCCTTGTTAAGGTTATTAATGATCTTGGTGACATTGTGACATGATTTGTTGGGACATTGACTGATGGCTGTGGTCCAGTCAGCTTGCCGATAAAAATGAGCAAGTTGAGGGCAGTCCGCTAGGTTCTAGCGCCAGACTACTCGCTTTGTGGGAGGTTCCTCCGACACTTTTGTGGGAAATTCAGCTATCAGAGTTACATGGTCCGAGGCGCCAAGGGGAGGTTTGCAACGGACTGTTACATCAGAAAGATAGAAAGACATACTCAGATCCAGTATATTGTCCCCTCGGGTCTTCATCGTAACATGTTGTTCCAGGCCGTGGCTAACACACATATCCTCAGCACATTCCCCTGCAGGAGTTGTTTTGTTGCTTCCTAACCACAAGCCGCTAAGCACATTGAAGTCGCCAGCGACGATAATCTTCGACCCATGCTGCCTAACTCTGTCAAGAGTTGCGTCAAGGTGTTCGAAGAGTTTGGTGTCAGTGGCCAGACAGGAGCCTGGCCTGTAGACAGCGCCAATGACAGTGTTCGTGTGGGGGGCCATGGAGACAGACACCCAGACAATTTCGTGATCACAGTCGATGTCATGGAGGTGCTGAAAGGCAATGCCGTCCCTAGTCCAGACCGCAACTCCTCCTCCATGAGCGGTGCGGTCTCGACGAATGGGAGGGGCATATCCAGGTAGTGAGACTTCCGCCTAGGTGGCCTTGTCTGCAGTGAGCTTGGTCTCAGTCACGATAATAACATCAGGCTTCGAGATCTTCACTGCGTGCTGAAGCTCACCAAGCTTGGACAGCAATCCAAATGCATTGGTCATGTAAAGGCGAAGTCGGGGGATAGAAGGGCGGGGAACAAACACTGGTGCAGAGGGGTTAAGGCGGGGAGAAAGCATGATGAAACATAGATAGATAGTCAGGCTAATATGAACACTAGAGAGAAAGATGACTAGTACTCAAGCTCGCCAGCCAGGCTTCTGGCTGATGGCAGGGGAGTGCAAACGAGTTGGCTTGTTTCCTTGGACTTCCATTCTTGACAAGAGTGAATCTGCCGTCGTGTTCTGGTGATATCGATTCCCGCTGCCGCTTTGATGGCTTCAGTGTATCAAAGAAAACGTTGTCGGCTCTTTCGGCTGCAGTGTTGTGATGCTGGTCTTCTGCATCCGCTTCTGAGCCGCTTGAATCATTGGGTTCAGCTGCTGGATCATGTGTATTGCCCATTTGGTGTAGGCACATTTTGTCATGCTGCCCAGGTATGAGACCTCCGTCATAGGTGTTTGATGTGTGGGCCAGAGACGTGGTGGGGTTAGGCTGCTGTGTGGAGGGGGTGGTGGCTCCTCTCCTGACTCCTCAACCCAGCTGCTGTGGGGGACAGAGCTAGAGTGAAATCGGGCTCACCTTCCGTGCCTCCTGCCGAGGCAGGTTCCGATTCCCCAGGTGCATCCCTTTCCGCATCCGATCCTCCTACAGCAGATGAGTACGAGTACGGTTTTTCTGACCCCACGCCACTAGTACTGGCAAGTTTGCGGTTGGCTGTCGTACCAGAGCTCATAGGTGTGTTTTCCCGGGAATGCTCATCCTGCTGCACATGCACTGACCCAGCAGCTGCAACCTCTTGACTATGCGTACTTTGAGGGCTTGCTGCTGACCTGTTCACTTCAGTGCATCCCGTACTCGTTGACTGACTAGCTGGAGGTTTTCGGCGTGGGGAATCCCTTGCTTTATGGCCTGGTGCTGCGCAATGGAAGCATGTCTGGGGTTGCCCTTTGTACCAGATGCGTAGGGGCGTCTGACCCACGCGAACAAGAGACGGAACTGACTTTCGCAATTTCACTTTCAAGAAGCTAGTACCGGTTTCAACTGAGAACCCTTCGTGCAGGATTTTTTCCTAGCAGGAGACCTGTGAATCGTTGCATACTGGCTTATGGCCGAAGACAATGCCCCGTCATGCAGGTGATACGGACAGCCAAACACATGCAAGCTAATGAGCTCGGTGTCTCCAATGACAATATCTACTGCCTTACCAGCAATTTTGAAAGAAGTGGACACAAGACGATCCCTGGCGGCGGCATGCTTGAGGGTGACAGTGCACCAGCCTGGTCTGCCATGCAGGTCCACTTGCTGGAGTTCGTCGGGCGTGACTCCATTACTAGCTAGTTCCTTTAATGAAAAATACATTATCGATCTCCCAAAGAGGATCAAGTTGAAAGGAAAAAGTGATGCAAGGCGCAGCTCCAAAATTGCTCCCGCCCGCCATCATACTGATCAATCAATTACATAAGTAGCGAATGTAGTCGATCTATGGAAAGTCTTACCCACACTCCATGCCGATTTGTGTTCCGCCATATGTAGTTTTCGAATGACATAGCTGCCCTTGGCAACTCGGAACGCGGCAGTGTACGACCGGGTCGACCTAGGGAGTGAGTAAAAAATTTGCACCCCAACACACTTACGGAGCACCTCCGTTATCAGAGTCCTACATACATACGCTGCATACCGTAAGGTCTTGTATAGAAGTTGCACTTGAATAGAAGCCGCCCTCGAATAGAAGCCGCAATTTTGGGCCAATCCAATCACACATAAGCCTGGTTTTAGTGATGACATACATAGAAGTACATGTCTTGTAATGAAGCCTGTCTCATTATAGAAGTCTGCAAAATTTCACAAGGAAAGTCATAGAAGCCGCGGCTTTTGTACAAGACTTTACGGTAGATAATTTTCCATAAGTGAGGTGCAAACTCGTGAGTTCAAGGGTTTTCCCGCCCACTAACGTAACGTTGCTCAACTTCACGTAGTGCGGAACGTCTCTGATGACTTGCCCATTAGGGGTCATCCGTATATATTCCCTCAACCCTGGAACCTTTGGATCCGTTTCATTATTAAATTCAAATTCGTTACTTGTAGTACTCCCCATTGATTTGTTTCCGTATTCTCTTTGTGCCTTGTTCATGATTGTATTTTCCTCTTCCTCCTTTTCTTATATGACCACCTTCATCATTTTGCGAGAACTGTGGCAATACGCCCAGTGAGAAGGCAGATTTTGCCTGTGTTTCTGGTGAAGTAAAATAAAGCTAAACAAACAAATACTGATATTTACACGAAAGCTAGTCATTTCCCTTCAACCCCTCCCCCTCCCTGAGAAACGAACACATACATACGGCACATAGTATATATTTTTTTCTTTTCTAGCTGGATGTGCCCACACATACAAACTGTGCATCGATATTTTCCGAGAAACGAACAGGCGCTCACCCCGCCCCCCCTCCCCCTTAAACAACTACTTTTTGTTTCTAAATATAATGTTTACGAATGGCTCCTAATACTATTCTGTTGTCCACTGTATCACCATATCAGACAACAATGAATGTGCAGCAAAAACACATGGTTGTCATGCCGACGCTAACTGTAGCAACATCCTTGGTTCATATACATGTGCATGTTTAACTGGTTACCAAGGAAATGGAACACATTGCTCAGGTAAGTCGTAATTTTATGACTTGCCCACCTGACTGTTTCATCAATTTTGTGAACAGTCCAATAAAACCTGGTTTAAGCAACCTCTGATTTTAGTGACCACCTGCTTTTAATGACCGCTTTTTTCATGCACAGACAATTCTACACAGAAATAGCACTGGATACAGCGACCACCTACCTTACACGGCCATCAAACGACTTTTAGTGTACCAAGTGCCATATAGGACCTGCACAGAGTGGCCCAAACCAGCCAAAAGTAGGGAGGTTTCGCTCTACGTAATTACGTATGAAAATCCGTATGTCGTACGCGCCGGGGAGCGAGGGCAACTTTCATACGTAAATCTCTCTACGGATTTCCGTAGGAAAGCTCTTTCCTACGTTGGGTCCTCCGTAGGACTTTTTGAAATATTTTTCGCATTTTCTGAATTTGTCCATGGCAACATTCAAGCCGCGCGAAACACAAGGTACACACACCGTACACCACGCGTGCAAAATATAATGGAGAACGCGGTTTCGGTTCATGGTGCATGCGGTGGTCACGTGCAGCCAACGCGTCTCCAAAGCAACAACGCATGTTTAGCAGTCATGGAGACATCACGTAGAGCGAAACCCAACAGCTCTGATTTTTACGTATGAAAATTCCGTGCAGTTCATACGTTATTTTCATACGTAATTCCGTAGAGCGAAACCCTTCCTAGTGTCATCTTCACTGGCAGGGTTGACGCAAACAGGGTTGAAGTGCGCTCTGACGCAAGTGCATGCAGTCAGCAGAAGTGACAAGTGAGAGTGCAGGATGCACTGCATGCACTTGAATGAGGCGTGCTTTGCCTGTGCGAAAGTCTTCTATTCTCCACGCCTGTAAATACGAGTGCATGGATGTACAACCATGCATATGTACATGTATGTACAGGATCCGATATGCCGCGAATGTATGGGACCTGGTTCTAAAGACCACTTGGCTTTAACGACCGCTTTCGCTTGCACCGTGGGATGGTCACTTTAGTATATTATTATTATTAAAAGCATGTCCGCGTAGGTGGCGGGGGTGCCACTTTCGCTTATGCCATTCAGGATTGATGTCTGAAGAGTAATGCGATACAATGAAATGACAGAAGTGACATCAACAAACGCCGTTAGCAACAATACCAATAGGACTAATGGAAAACTTATCCAAAGTATAAAATAAAATAGAATATGCATACAACATGTCTGGCGGAATCACGTGGATCACGAGAATCAGTCCTGTTACTAATGGAAAACTTATCCAAAGTATAAAATAAAATAGAATATGCATACAACATGTCTGGCGGAATCACGTGGATCACGAGAATCAGTCCTGTTAGGTGGTGCGGGCTCCACGCCATGCCTGTCGGTCCGCTGCCATTGTGCGGACTGCGACAGCATCTATCGGCTGGTGGAGGGTAAGTCCATGCCATGATGACAGTTCTGTCTGCAAGACCGTTACCAAAGTCGTCACTTGAACCTGGTTTTACTGTAGTTCGAGTTTTGTTTCGCGTTTTCTTCAAATGTTGCGTTCAAACCTGCGAACGTTCGCATGAAGTTTCCCTTTTCGTGAGGTCAAACGAAAATCCGCACAAACGTTTGCTTTGTAAACCTCTGTAACAATGGGCGGGCTCGATTGCACACATTTCCGCCAATTCTACTGCAGCAGACATAGAAACATAGAAATGCAGTCAATTGACCGGAGCCGGTGCTCTCAGCGCGTACAGAACGCTGTGTGCAGTGCACATGCTGATCCGCTACAACCAGCGCGCTGCAGCGCATAAATGCATGTGTGTACCGCTTATCCACGGCTGCATGGTCAGTGGTCTGGGGCCACTAGACATGCGACCGGATTTCCATGTCCACGACAGTCGAATTATTTATGGTGGATGCGCCGTTCAGTTACACAAAATCTGTCGTCAATTGCAATTCCGTCAATTTGGTCAATTCTGAAGATAGGGCCGAATTGCGACATGTAATTCCAGAATTGCTAATTCCAGAATTGACGCACTCGACGTAAACGCCGTGCTAGGTCCACATGCGCGCGAGGGTGCACGGGCTCCCACGTGATCCCCTTTTACGATTTATGTCACTGTAGTCGTTTGTCTACATGGCCGCAATGCGTTCATTCTGTTCATTCGAGAATTATAAAACCTGGGTCCAAACATGTAGTCGAAAGTGCCCAATGACTAGCATGTTATGCTATTCTGTTGTCCACTGTATCACCATATCAGACACCAATGAATGTACAGCAAAAACACATGGTTGTCATGTCAACGCTCAATGTAACAATACCATTGGTTCATATGCATGTGTATGTACAACTGGTTACCAGGGAAATGAAACGCATTGCACAGGTAAGTCATAATGTCATGAATCGGCACACTTAATGGGGAAGTTCGGAGAAAAAAATTAAATTTCAGGACCCGGAGAGTTTGGGTCGCTGAGTTCAATGTTGTTGGTCCGACCTGCCTTCAACAAAGCGTTCTTGAGATATTTCCGTTCGAAAAACTAAGTATGGGGGGAGGGGTTGCGCCCATGACGTCATGCAGCCGCCCCACACAATCTGCAATGCCATAGCATGCAGCCAGGTCAAAGGGACTGCAGGAAATCAATAGTGTCAATGCTATTTCAAATGATTTGACGACCGATAGTAGTCGGTGCAAGCGGCCACGAAGACATAAATCTGTGTGAGAGTGAGGATGCAGCCATGGCTGACCTTCATGAGTTCGGTCTGGGCTGAGAACTCCGGTGTTCTGCAGAAGAAATGGCCGAGCGGGCTGGTCAAGAGTGAGCCCTGCAGCGTTTGCGACTGATGAAGAAGCAGCAGCGGCGAGGCTGATATGATTATCAGATATCTGGAGAGTAGAGTCGGCGAAATGGAGAAGACTGATGGGAGTGCTCTAAAAGCTGTTCCATAACGACTCCAGTAGTCTGCCATATAGTGATTTTTGGTGTCAGCATGGCATATTTTGGACGCTGCTCTTTTGGAGAACAATGCAGGCTCTTTGAACCACGGCCACAACTCTTCGGTTCAAGGTTCACAACACTACGGGATCTGAACGTTTTAGGTCCGGGAGCTGTTCGTTGTATTGTCACTTGTCACGGTTGTTGACTCATCGTTGTAGCATAAATGAATCTGCACTATTTCATGCCGAAAACGTTCTTTGCCAAAGCACAACCACCGGCACCGGCAAGAAGAAATGCACCTTCCCTGATTGTACGAACGACTGATACGAGCATGACAAGTCTGTATTTTGCAGTGCAGGGAGTGGATTGGAGGGTGGTGGTTGGGTGACTGGCTGGGGGTGTGGCTGGGGGTGTGCCTGAGCGCGTATAGCTGTGACTGTGAAACTGTATGAGAATGGGAAGTGCGGGACTGCTGGTTGCGCATCTGCGATAGTAGTTGTATGTTTAAGCAGAGAGGTGGTTGTGCGCTAGAAACATTTGTTTGCATTGAGTGATTGGTATTCATTCATGCATGAATGTCAGTGATGAATTCATCTTATCGGCCCTTTTGTCTGCTTGAACTGTTGCATTCTGACTTTCAGCAACAGACGCCAACGCAAGTCAGTCGAATACCTACCTAACTCTGGGTCTTTCTCTCAGTCTTGTTGCTGTGCTGGTAGTGACTTTGTTTACTTTTTTCATTCGTTTTCGAAACAATAAGCTGCGAGGAATACACGGAATATCCAGCAGGTCTGGACGTACACTTGGAAAATGTAAGTATTAAATTCCGAATTTTGAAAAGATAGACCAAAGGTCGGTCAAAACTCTCCGAGTCTAATTTGGATACTGCTCACAGTTCTCTGTGTGTATGTGTGTTTGTGTGTGTGTGTGTTTGTGTGTGTGTGTGTGTGTATGTATGTATTTGAACTCTTTTATTCTCACGATGGCCTGTGGCCAATAAGAGAAAAATAATTACAGGCACGGGGAACAGATACAGAGAGATCAAAGTTTAGCTGCTTGCTGAGGCAGTAGCGATGGCAATAGGGAGTTTATCACATCGGCTGGGCGCAATGGAGCTATAGATGTGCTGAGCAATGTGAGCAAGTACATACGGAAGAGATGACAAGTGGTAGGATGTTTGCTTTGAAATCTCGTCTGGGGTTGATTTGCCGGAGGTTGAGTGGAATACTATTGAAGAGATCAAGAGAAGCATAGATGGGGGAGTCCCTTAGCCGTGTTGTTGTTGTTGTTTATTTTACTTCACCAAATGAACAGGCAGAGATGCCTTCTCACCTGCCCATAGGACAGGTTCTCACAGAATGATGAAGGGATGATATGCAAGGGAAAACAAGAAATGATAATAATATGAGGCATCGGCAGCAAGAACCGGGGTCCTGGCAATTTTTCAAAATGCCAATATTTGCGAAAAACCGAACCGATGTCGTTTTTTAATCACCGCGATCAAAGCGGAAAGACTTCTTGCGCTATCGCTTTGAAAGTGCTTTCCTCTTGGTGGCTTCACTATAATTTGTTGTCATCGCAGTTGAAGTTTATCCGCCAAGCACTTGGGACGCCCAGGTAGGCGTTTTCAGTCACCATGGAGGCGTTTGCGCTCGGGGTAGCGCCTGCAAATCATGCGCTCAAAAGAGAGCGGAACAAATAATGTCTTGGCGGAACGATCCCGTCACAAATTCTTGGTGGAGCACGAGCGACTAGAATATTTGACAGCTGGATCTCTGGAGATACTCAGCTGCCTGTGATAGTCTCCCGCAAGAAGAATCAGGTGAAAGTGAAGAGGTTTCGCTCAGATGACAAGCCATCAGCGAAGGCAGCGCAGACGATGAGTTTGAGAGCTCCGTGACACGAAGTGGCGACGCGGACAGCAGCGGTGAGAGTGACGAACGAGATTCAGTACTCTGTGGCGACTATTCGCAGCTGGATAAGGAGATACGGAGACAGCCCTGAATGAACTAAACCTTACTTGATAGAATAAAATTGTTGCAAGTATACTTGCACGCTTGCGGTGCGCATGAAATTTGTCACAGTATAATGCATGTATCTATGAGCTGCTGTGCGTAGGAGAGCAAAACATGCTTGGTGGATGTATCTGGCTTGGCCCAGCATGTATATCTAGTCGTGGACTAAGTTGTAGATTCTTCCCAGCCATGTAAAACGTCAGTTGCTTGTCTTCTTTCTGTCTGATAAGTTTGCATACAACACCAGACCTGCGCATGACATGGATTGAGTTGTCAAGTAACATTGCAGCAAGTGCAGGGAACAATGTTAGAATATTATCAACTAGAGTACTCTGTGCTTCCCTGAAGACCTATAAATATGCTAAATTATTCTCAGCCACTCCATTAGAGCTAGCTGTAACTGCGTTCCATGTTGCCCTTTTGCTGACCATTTTTGTCGACCTTCACCCATCATTTCGGGCGTTCTTTTTACCATCTTGGAAGGTGCCCAGAGCTCCAAAATTTGGCCCATAGATCACTCATTTAGTGGACAGCTCAAAGCCATCAAAAATCTTTTTCGGTAAATATCACCTAACCCTAGTTTTTGCTGCCCATGCCTCATATACGACAGAAAGGACCAAAAGAAGAAAATAAAAGTTTAATGAGGATATTCACAAAGTAAGTATATCAATGGC